TCGACCCGCTCTTTCGTTTGAGCCCAAAAAAACATTCATATCTTGTCTGACATCTTTGCTACAAACTCAGGTCTTCAACTTGGGGCTTCAATTGAAAGCCCGAGTTGTAGACCCGAGTTTGTAGCAGCGAGGACAATGGGGTCTAGGAGTATGTATAGAACATTGGGGTCTAGGAGTCTCCCCTGGTTCAAAACCATCTTTAGAGGCCCTAGCACGCCATTTCTCGACCCGCTCTTTCGTTTGAGCCCAAAAAAACATTCATATCTTGTCTGACATCTTTGCTACAAACTCAGGTCTTCAACTCGGGCCTTCAATTAAAAGCCCGAGTTGTAGACACGAGTTTATAGCAGCAATGTCAGACAAGATATGAATGTTTTTTCGGACCCAAATGAAAGAGCGGGTCGAGAAATGACGTGCAGAGCCTCTAAACATGACAAATGTCTCTAAAGAAGATATCTGTTTTCAATTGAAAAGCAGAATTGTGACAACATTGTCTAGGAGGACAATGGGGTCTAGGAGTATGTATAGAACATTGGGGTCTAGGAGTCTCCCCTGGTTCAAAACCATCTTTAGAGGCCCTAGCACGTCATTTCTCGACCCGCTCTTTCATTTGAGCCCGAAAAAACATTCATATCTTGTCTGACATCGCTGCTACAAACTCGGGTCGACAACTCGGGCTTTCAATTGAAGCCCCGAGTCGAAGACCCGAGTTTGTAGCAGAGATGTCAGACGAAATATGAATGTTTGTTTGGGCNCTCTGCTACAAACTCTGGTCATCAACTCTGGTTTTCAGTTGAAATTGGAATTGTTAATTTACACAATAATAGGAGTGCATTGACGATTTTTTCTTAACTCGCAAAAATCTTCAAACAATTTGTTACCGATTGGTGATAAAATTTTTTGGAAATAATGAAATAGCGGGGATAACGCCTTTTTTTTCAGGGGTGATTTTTCAAAAATTTATTTTTAAAAAAGTACTAACTAGCAAATGTTTTTTATTAGCTCGCAATTTGTTTCAAAACTACTTCAATGAGGAAAAAAATAAAAATTTGGAATATCTATACATGAGGGGCTAATTGATCGGATCTAGTCGATGTAAACACACGAGATATCCTTTTTTTGTTTACCACAGTCAATGAGAAAACCACATTCTTTCCGCATGCCAAAATATTATCTGAATTATAACGTGTGAAAAATTGTCTTTCCATTGCATGTACAATTTGAAACAAAATCGTTGAAGGAACGATCATTAGTAATAATAATAATAAAAAGTGAGGTGTTTCTTGTAACAATGCAATACGAAAAATCAATGTCAATAGTATTATTTCTAAAACTGGATTCATATCACTTATTCGATTGCAGTCAAGGTTAGAATCTCTAACAATGCAGAAGCCTCAAGTGAACCACCCATTGACCCTCTGCCAATCCTCGTCGATCGAAATCTCGAAACTCCTGTGGTCTCAACCCGACTTGAAACACCAGCTAATACTCTGGATAAAAACCCACAGTATTTGGTCTTCCTCGACTGAATCCACTGATGCCCAGAACACATTGCGTGCCCAAATCTCCCGTAAAATTAACGAACTGGTCCCCTCTGAACGCCTCAAACAGGAGTTGAGGCAAACCGTGGATTTGATGGGAACGAGACTGCGGCAGTGGATCCACAAGATGGAAAGACGTGGTAACATTTCAGTGGACTTGATACTTTACCTCGATCACATCCACTGGGGACGTCCTGGGTGCGTTGACGAGTCTGCAACCATAAACTCGATGTATCTCTCCCAGGTTTTTCCAGAGAACATTATCACGTGGCTCGAGCTCTGCGACTACTGCCTCGAGGACTGCATCAGGGACTTGTGGCCTAAATTATCAGAAATCGAGGAGAATTTCTACACTAGGTCTCAGTCAGTCTTGTCAACCTACTGGTGTCACTGGCTGCAGAACGATCTGAAGAAAGGACATGCAACTTTCAGAATAGTTATCCCAGATTGGGAGGATGATCAGTCGCTGGAAGAAAATTTGTTTGCATATAGTTTTCTTTATGGCACTTACTCAGCAGTGGAATATTTCTGGAGGTTGATGAGAAATGATCAGAGGAAGAGGACGATCATTCGTGTAGCTCGAACGATCCTCAGTTTCATCGAGCTGCTGCCACAGCCTGATCTTGTGGTTTTTCTACTCCAACAGATATTCTTTTATGATCTGAATCATCTGTGGATTCAGCTGCTGAATTCAGACCGTTTGCTTGTTAAATTGTTGAATTGGCCTTATCAACATTTATTCTTGGCGGCTGCTGAGGCATCGTGGGTGCACCATGGGCCCATTGATTACACTCCAATTCTTATCGAGATCATTAAATCTATGAAAAGTTTATGTTTATTCTCAACTGATGGGGCTCATTCACAGTACTGCGAGATAGTTTATGATATTTTAGAGAGAGTCGTGGGTGACAAAAAAGGATCGATCAACTTCTTGAAAGTTCTCAATGAAGCATGGGAAATGGAGAATAATAAGATGTTGAATTATATTATCAATTATCCTCGTTTGGAGGAAATGAGGAATTTCCATGTTTTTGTGATGATGCAAGCGTTTAAGCGTAGACATTGCTCTGTAGACTCGGATTTTGGGGAAAAATTTGTGAGGGAGGTTCTTGTTTCTGACGCGGAACGAGAGTCATTCAGGTGCCAAGTTAAGGATAGGGGCTTTGAGATTGATGGGGGAATGAAGGAGAATTAGTTAGTTTAATTCATCTATTCCTATTCATTGAAAATTGTTCTGCAATACAGTGCACTGAGAAGAAAAATATTTTTGCCGAGTATCCATTTACTTGACATAAATATTTATTTTTTTAATAATGTATTCCGCCAGTCGAGTCATTCGCAGGCATTCCTCATTAGTTTTCAGATATGACAATTATATTGCTCTAGAAGATGATCAGGTTAGTTAGGGACTTGAGTAAACTCCCTCAATAATTATCAACATTAAAAGATTAATCCAAATTCTTCCTTTTGGAAAATGAGAAATTGAGGAAAAATGAATAATTATTGAAGGAGTTCATCCAAGGTCATGTGTAACATAGTTATCCTCTAGAATAACATGATTATCATAATTGAAACCTAATCGGGCTTGCCTGCACGCACAAAAAAAATTAATAGAAAAGCCTATCGAATTCGCTAGAAAATTCTATTAAACTTTCTATTAGTTTTTGGCTGACTCTATTGACATGTTCAATAGAAAACATTCAATAGAAAAAGTCAACAGAATTCGATTTTTCGATATAACTTGTTCTTTTCATATATTTTCTATAGAATTTGCTCGATTCAAATTTTCTAAGTTTTTTTCATTCTATTTTTCTTTTCTTCTCATCAAGAAAATCAAACGAAAAAACTTAGACAATTTGCGTCGATATAGGAAATATCTCAATAGAATAAGTTATACAGAAAATGGAATTCTATTGACTTTTTCTACTGAATATTTTCTATTGAATATTTTAATAGAATCGGCCAAAAACTAATAGAACAGTTGAATAGAAATTCAATAGAATTTTCTAACGAATTCGATAGGTTTTTCTATTAAATTTTTTCGTCCGTGTGGGAATGACTCGACTGGAGAAATACCATATTGAAAAAATAAATACTTTTCTGAAGTAAATGGATAATTGGCAAAAATAATTTTTTTCTCAGTGTGCTTTAAGGAACTAAACTCCGTTGAAAAACATATTCTACAATGAATTTTTTGCATGTTTTTATGATTATTTTCACTCTAGTCTTCGCCTGAAAATATTGGCCACGTAATTTGCATAAATTTATTTAAGAAATTATTTGTAAAACATTATGTAATCGATTACCAAGTTTCATCTATTCTATTAATTTTATCTGCTGATTGAGAAGATAAATGAGAATTAGTTTATTTGAAGGAAAATAACGAGTGCGAGTCCAGCTGCTATTCATATTCATGAGGGATTTGTCGTCGATACTTCTACTCATCGAAGATTCCTCTGCAATCCAGTGTTTTCAGCAATTAAACTTCGTTAAAAAAGACATTCTACAATTAATTTTCCGCACGTTTTATGTTTTTTTTTTCACTGTTACTCTTTGCCTGAGAATATTGGCCACATTTGCATGAATTTATTTAAGAATTTATTTGTAACACATTCTGTAATCGATTACTGGGTTTTATCCATTTATAAACGCTCAAATATCATGAAGATTAATTTTTGATCCTATTACCTCCTTATCGAGATATGATTTGAATATGAGTGTTGAAAACCTCTTCATCACATATGAAAACATTTTAGTAGACAAATCTACCGCTTTCTTCAAGAAATTTTATCGAATTTCTGTTGGAACTCTAGAACTTCCATTGGAGTTCTGTTGAAGTTCTATTAAATAATTGTGTGATTTTTTTGCGCCAATTGCATTGAAGATTATGCAACTTTACTGCGTTATTTTATAGAAGAAAGATAATAGATTTTTATTTTTCTATCAAAATTGTTGGTTATCAATTTTCCAAGTTTTTTCTTTTTTTTTTTTCATTTTATTTATTTATTTTTTTTATAAAATCTAAGAAGGAACGTAGAAACTTCGTGCCTAAGAATGTTCATTTAAAAAATTTCAACAGAATGAGCTATTAATATCTTTTTCAACATATCTGCACTGAAAGTTCCATTTTCCACCCCAAATGGTGGGAGGAAAGTGGTTTAATTCATTTTTCGGATTTCTGTTGTTTTTGACGATCCTCGGAATGATATAACCCACATTCCTTCCTGCACTTGTGACGAAATTGTATGTTTCGTCCTTAAGCTGAAAAAAACTATTACGTCATTAGGCCCGAAAACTCTAAGGTATCTTATATAAAGTCTTGACTGTATTTTGAATTAGAATAACGTCTGATCGAGTTATCTCGAACGTTAAGAGCGGTGAAATTGACCTGTTACAGCCTATTACCCTTTATTTCCCCCTTATTTTTTATGAAACCCATTTAAGGATGTTTATCCAAAATCGCAAGTACTTGAAAAAAAATTGATTTTTTTAAACTGAGAGATGAAGATATTCCCTTCACGAAAGTGAAGAAAAGAGGAAAAGAGGAAATATTTAATATTTTTATATTATTTTTATGTTTATTATTATTTTTTTTAATATTTTTTTTTATATTTAATTTTTTTTTAAATTCAAATTTCAATCCACCAACCCATTAAATATTTCCTGTTTTTGCCCGGGTACCCCAGAGTTTTCTCTGGCCATTGCATTCAGTATGATTTTACACATTACTTTCTATTTTTATTTCTGTTTTTAGAGTCTCCTAGTAGGTGAATTATCAATTTGAACATAAATTTCATAAGAGCCCGTGTATAAAAAAAAATAGTTTATTCATTTCTCCCGAGACTATTGCGATAAATTTTTTTTTACGTTTGAAAATTTAGTTTTATATATTCCACTGTCAGCCGAAAAAATTATAAAATTTTCCTTGATCAAAAAAAAAAACATTTACCGACACTGTCTAAACATCGGGGAAACCCTGCGTTTATATGAATCTTTAGAATTCTGTTTTCTCCTCCAATTATTATTTTTTACTCACTCAACTACTTCATTGACTCAACAATGCGATAATCGAGTCAACAAAGTAATTTCATAGATAGAAATTAATAATTATAGGAGAAAACACAATTCTAAGATTTGATGCAGACAAAGGGGTTCCGTCTCCCCTTAAGGTATTTCCTCAGTCCCTTATACCTGGTAGAAATTTCGCAATGTACTGAAGACGCAAAATTTTGATCATATGTTGTTGAGCACATTAAAAAACGATTCCCAAAATTTCAAGTATGTTTTCCACGGCAATTTTTGAGATATGCATCGTCAAACATTCAATTTTTGTATTTTTTCCATTTTTGACGATGCATATCTTAAAAATTGGCGTGGACGCGATACTTGAAATTTTGGGAATCGTTTTTGAATGTGCTCAACAAAATGTGATCCAAATTTTACGTCTTCAGTACATTGCGAAATTTCTACCAGGTATAAGTGACTGAGGAAGTACCTTAAGGGTGCCAAGTGAATTTGAAAAAAGATTTTTTAAAATTTTTTTCTTTCCCTCCATCATTGGAGAAATATGTATTCATCCATCCGACGAAATTTCAAACCCGCAACCGGAACTAGACATCGAGAAAATAAATGCGGAAAATCCTCTATTTCGCGTGACGAACCTCGAGAAAGCATGGGATCAAATGGGTACGGCGGGTTGAAATATCTCTCTTATTCACCCCGGTACCCCATTGTTTTTTGTCGCCATCACATTGAACACATCATTCCCCACATCTTCAAATTTTTTCAAATTTTTCTTGAGTTCCTAGGGGGTTGAAACGTTCAATTTAATCAAAACTCCATAAGAGACCGTGTATGCGGGATTTTGTTTATTTAATTTCTCGATATCCATAAGTTCTAAAATTTTAAAATTGTCACCGATGCTCACCTTCTGTCTAATACTATTATTAACAAAATTATAACTTTGTTGGTGAATGTCAATTTTCAAGGTCATCGCCAAATTCACTTGGCACCCTTAAAATCAGGGATAAGCAAGCGCGTTCAACTGAATGAACCAGCTGCTGCCATCTACCACGACTCCACTGTAACTCCCCGTGAGTAACGAAATCACTCGACTACTGATGGACGACGTCTCTTCGTTATCGACCTCGCGAGTCTTTCAAAAGATCGCTTCATCAGGCGCCGGGAGAATCGCACACCTTCGCCGGCATTTGAGTGTTTACATCGGGGGAAGAAAAAACTTATAAACAGTGCGCATAAAATCGTTGAGGGAGAGAGTGGTGATCTCAACGATGGCTCCCCGTGCAGTGAAAAAATTATTTAATCCAAATATATTTCACATCGATGGTGTTCCCATGAGGTTTTATCTTGAAGGGTACGACGAATGTCAGTGCCATCAGATTTCTACGATTATCGAGGTGAATTACATTTTTTTTTCCAATCAAAACTCGAAAGTATCCTCTCATCTGCAACCTTTGGCCCTCTGTTAGACGATCTTTTTGTGACCCTCCATATTTATTTGATCAGGCACATGGTGGAAAATTCTCGTTACCCGACACCGGCACCATTGTTTTCTCGGAACCTGGCCGCTATGCACATACCGATCGTCGTAGATTTCACATTAAATGTTTGCGAGACAGTATAGTGCAGAACAAGCTCCAGGATATCAATAAATATGCGTGAGTAACTCTTCTAATCATTTTTCCTGGGAGTCAATTCAGCAGTTAAATAGTGCTCGTTCATGATTGAAATCTGATATTCTTGTGAATTGGGCATTCATCTCTGAAGTGAGTGATTCTGAAGGGAATTTTTTAGAGCAGAAAAATTATCAGGAGAAAATGGCAAAAGGCAGTTTCTCCTAAAATCACTTTTCATAAACAATCGGTTGAACTCTATAATCAAGTGGTGAAGCGTAGGGGAGAAAATTCGAGCAAAAATTGATGTGCCATTCACCAACTCATGGCCACTTCTAAAATGGACACTTCAAACTTTTTTTTAAAATGCTCATGACTTATTGAATTGTTGATAAAATGAAATGAGTGATTTCTCAGTGGAAAGTACAAGTTCCTTCGTTGTTATAAACCAACACTGAGATCAATTGATAAAGCTGTTTTCGAGTTATGAATATTTTTAGAAAAGTCAAAAGTGTCCATTTTCCTCCTCCTCTCCTATGAAAATTCGAATGTGGCATCAGAATTTTTAAGGAAATCCACTGATTTTATTATTTAAACTTGGCAGGTCTGAATTTGAACCTCGATATTGAATCGTTAGAAAACATTTTAAAAATATGAAAACAAAATTAAAAAATTTACTTTTGGAGGAAGATTGAGGAAATAATTAAAAATGCAATTTTTGACAATTACGAGCTTGTTTTATAAATAATTTATAAACTATCAATTTTCCACCATAAAAATCATGTGTTCGGAATCGTAACTAATTTATTCATATTCAGATGTTTATTAAAAATCGATTTAATGCCTAAAAAAATAAGGTTCCGAAACTTTAAACTATTTCAATTATTTAGTTATAAACAACGAATGTTTAAAAAAATTATAATTCTGTGCAAACTATAATTTGAATGACGCTGATCATTCATGATTTCTTTCAAATTTTTCTCACCCAATTTAATTAACAATTTGATGATTGAAAATGGTTGAATCTATAATGTGGTCTGTACCAAACTGTATAAGGTACTTGGATACCCTTAGTGAACAGTTATAAAGAAAATAGGCAATTCGCGGCAAAGGTACACGTTAGAATGGAATTATAGGAGGTTTAATATTTTCAACAGATCTTCCCTTGGCCATTACATTCAGTATATTTTATCACATTGCCCTGTATTTTTATTTTTGGACATTTTAATAGGTGAATTATCAATTTGAAAATAAATCACATAAGAGGTCATGTTTGACGGGCTCAACAAATTAACTTTTGTTTTCATCGTCAGAACTGTTGATTTTATACTTTACCATTACCCCAAAAAATTACAGAATTTTTTTGAAATAGAAATAGAATAGAATAGAAATCAAGGGACTCCATTGCATGGAATATTAGAATATAAATTCTGTGGAGGGAATGCTGTGTCGGTATTAAAGTATGCCGTAAAATGTAATAAAAAACAATCGATGAGCATCCTTAGGACAAGAAGAGCCTCTAAAATGCCCATGATCCAAGCCGACCGCTATACAGGAATATATCCTACCAACGGAGGGGTAAAAAGAAATTGATTGGTAATCTCTTCAGCTACAGGAATATCTCTTAACATTCTGCCATATCATCCATTATTCGAAATAAGTGGATTCTGACATTTTCCCTGAAGTCACTTGTTGCTACCAATTATTTGAATTTAGTAATAAAGTAGTCAACTGTAACGAAACAATTCAAATTGTCATATCTCATTGAATGTCAAACCATTTTGACGAGTGATTCTAAAGAAAAAAACAAGGAAAATTTTTTGAGACAAGGAAAGTCTAAAGTGATCATGGTCTGAGTCAACCTCTGTACAAGAAATATGCGGAAAATTTCTTCAATTCCAAGAACTGATTATCTTGATTAATTTTTGTATTAATCAGTTCGAATTATCTTGGTGAAGAACGATTTTAGGGGAAAACGTCAAAAGAAACTTTTATTTTTTAATTTAGTTGAGTGTCTATAACGTACAAGACCAAATCCACTTTTTGTAATACCTGCCTCAAAGTTCACTTTTCGAAACCGTTTAGTGTGTGTAAAGTGGTTGTTTTACGCACACCGTGCACAAAAGTAACCACTTTACCCCCACTACGGTTCCGACAGTGAACTCGGCAGGTCCGATTTACTAAAGATGAAAGTGAAGAAAAACGTGAAGTTGTTTTATATCGAAATATCTCGAAACTGCCTGACCGCTAATCCTCAATTCTGATTGGTCAATGAGTCACGTGAAGTAGTCGCTGAAAAAAAACCCCGGTATTTTCAAATTCTTCAAATGCCAAAAAATTTTTCTGCGTCATATTTTTCATTTTTTCATGCGTGAAGTTGATCTTTATATCAAAACATATCTAAATTGCCTAATTGTTGATCATGAGAAAAAAAAAACAGTATTCCTAAATTTTTTTAACTCAAAAATTATTCTTCACTCCCTGTGAAATTTTCCGAAGAATTCAGCCAATTTTTTCAGTTCTCTAGGAAATCAATTCATAACCCTCCCCTGATTTTTCAACAATTACAGATTTTAATCAGATTATTTTAAAAATTAAAAAAAAAAAAGAATTAATCGAAGATTAAAAATTATTCATTGATGCTTCACTCTTCATTCTCTTCATTCTCTTAATTCTCTTTAAGTTATTATCAATATTTATAAAACATCTATGAGAATATGAAGTTTAATAAATTCGATTTCTTCATTTTCACAACAAAAAGATAAGCGCGCGCACCTATCTAGTATTACAAAAAATAGGATGTGCTACGCGTGCATGCGAAAAAGTGGTTCTTTACGCACTTGTATCACAATATACTATACTACATATTTGTGAATATTAAACGATCTTGTTATGGTGATTATTATTATAATAAATGGCTTCAGGGGATGTCAAGAGACAATTTTGTAGTAAGAAATTTTCAACAGCGAAGTGATTAAACGTTAAACTTTTATTTCTCAATGATTCGGGACGAAATGCCGTTAACGGCATCCGTCCCGACCGTCCGTTAACATCCCAGATCGTCTTGATGGTGAGTTATTCTACGAGCAGATGTCCAAAGGCATTCCTTGCAGTTGGAGATAAAAAAATATCTGTTTACCTTTTTCCCTAAAATCACTCTTTCTAAGGTACTTAAACAGTCGACAGCATCCTAAAGATATACTTATTGTGTTTCAGCACATTCAGAGAATCGGTCGCAAAGTGCTTTTATGATCCTCAAATTTTACCTTTTAGATTTTATTTTCGAATGGAAGTTTTGTAATCGTTCAAAATTAAGTTTCCAATTTTTCGTGTCAAGGTAACACAAAATATCGTCTAAATGAAATATAGTCTAAATATAGTCTGAAAAGTCCGAGTAGGCGATTTTTAGATGGTGCCTGTATGTATGTGGTCTACAAATTTTTATTCAAAATTTTGTTGGAGATCTATCGAATGTCATGAGTTTTTCCATGAATCTGTACTTTAATAGGTTCGGTCCATTGACAACAATTAAAATTCAATTTTTCATGAAGATTCGAAAAAAATTTCATTTTTGATACAACGATTTTTCAACAATCACTGAAACCATTATTATCAAAACAGAATTAATCATGGTTTCAAATAGTACATTGTATTACTCGTGCGTAAAGTGGCACTTTTTCCTACTCACGTGTAACATCCCATTTTTTGTGATTCCTACTGAGTTCACTGTTCGCAACTGTAGTGGGGGTAAACTGGCTGTTTTTTGCGCATGCCCGTAAACTTTACGCACGCCGTGTGGACAACAAGTGCCTTACGCACACTAAATCGTTGTGAAAAGAGCACTTGTTAGGCAGGCATAAAATAAAATAATATCAAATCCTATTGGTTCTCTCAGAATATAACCTTCGCACTATTCGTTGCTGAGCTACAGTATGTTGTTTATGCGATTGAATAGAGAAAATAAGTTTTTTCATGATTACTGAGAGAATTAGCAGCAATACCAAACGTATGAAAAAATCATATCGAAATTTTCTACACGGATTGCGTATAGAATTTCTATAGAATTTTCGTATATGATATTCGGATATTTCTATAGGGATATTTTTTATACAAATTATTTCTATACGATTTTTATAGGTTTGATCCTATACGACCCACTGCCACATGTATAGAAACATTTCGTATGGAGTTGCGACATTTCTCTACGTTTTTCTCTGGAGCGTTTAGACATCGTTCGTATGAAAACAAAAATTTATGTAAAAATTTATGGATGGAAGTAATGGTGACCGGATTGTTTTCTCCCGGAAATTATTTCCCCGGAAAATTTTTCCCGTGGAAAAAATTTCCCCGTCTAATTGTTTCCCCGGATTTTTTTTCCCTGATAATTTCGCCTGAATTTTGTTTTTTTGGACATGAAAAATAAATGAATGAATTCATTTCATCGTTGGAAATTAATGGAATACTAGATGTAGAAGAAATTGTCATTTTGCAGCAATTAGGTTGTTGTCTTCTTGAATATACGAACACACATACCCACTCCGTTCATTTTAAAACAAAAATATACACGTACAAGTAAATCTTGCTATAATACAAGTGAAATTATTGGGGGAAGGGTCGATCGAATGCCGTGAGTTTGATGTTTGATGGATTGTGAATGTTTATCGTATTGTACTGATTATGTAGGCATGAAAGTTTGTTGTGAAATTTGGAAAAAAATTGTTTTGAAAATGTTGAATTCTGATTTGGGTTTGAAAGATTGAGAGACGTAATAAATTGAATTGATATTGGTAATACGTGTATGTGTAACCTTCATGTTCAGTGGTAAGGGGAAATCATTCCGGAGGAAATGATTCCGGGGAAATTTTTTTCGGGGGAAAACAATCCGGGAACCGAAGTAATTCGTATAGAAATATCCGAATATCATATACGGAAATCCTACATAATTTCTATACGATTTTTTCATACGTGCAGTTGAATCAGGGTTGGAAAATATATATATCAATGCCTCCTTAATCAAATTGAGAAATGATGAGAGTGGCATTATTGCTTATCAAGTTATGTAATAACGTCATGAGCTTTTTATATCAGAACCTCTATTAGACTCAAGTATCAGTATATGAAATTGGATACTTATTTATGTTGATTCATGGCCCTGACTAATCCAGGATTAAACGCTGGCTAAATCCTGACTAAACCCTGATTAAATCCCACCTCATAGTTTAACTATGGTAATCCCTGGTTAAACCATAACTAAACTTCGATTAAACGCTGGTGAAGTCCCGACTAAATCGCAATTGAACCTTGATTAAACCCTGACCGAAACCTAATTAAAATGTTAAGAGCATCTGAATATAGGATCAATTGAAAGAAAAAATTCTCAAAAATTTTGATGACATTTCAATTTGTGATAGTACTATGATATAAAAACAGTGAAGAGAATGGTAAAATGAGAATTTAAAAAAAGGGAATCCATTCGGAAGCAAATCCCTAATTTATTAGCAACACTAATCATACTCATACCCAAAAAATGCAATTATCCACTTCTTATTTTCCTATCCAGACTACCATGGAGAATAACTCGGCCTCGAAAAGACAGTTCCCCGCTCGCAGCTAAAATACCCAAATCTGAGTCCGATAAAAAGCCATTGAAAGAATCTCTCATTCTCCCACCATCTCCAAAAAATCTCAGAAATTCTCAACTCCGTGAGCCCTACGTTCTCATTCAAGACTGTGTCACGACTCATGCAGCGATCTTGAAACAACCAAAACTCAGCAATTCAGACGTAACTGAATCACAGACCAGTAGAAACCCCACAGAGGGAGAACAATCGAGCGTGATATCAAGTTCCCAGAGTAACGTGACTCCTCCGTTTGTCCAGCCGAAAACTGCTGACAAACCATCTCCCATTGCTACTAAACCCAGAAGCGTCGCTGTCAAACGTTTGACGAACTTTCGCCCTTGTGGCCTTTCTCGCCGCCCAAAATCGCCCCTAGAAAATGTTCCAGTTGAAACAGATGATGAGAAACGAATGAGAGAGAATCTGCGATCACCTCCACTGAGAAGATCCCCGGGTATTGAAATAATCAAGGAAATTCAGAGAAAGTCACCAGTCGTCAAAGACATCATTGTGATAAGCGATTCTGAGGATTCAAGCCATGAGAATGCAAGGAAAAAAGGTCCAGAGCCCGCTGAGAAGTGTCTGCAGACACCCGAGCCTCCTGTAGACTGGAGAAGTTTAACAAACTTCGATGTCCCAAATTCGTATGCTGTCTGGTCCAGGGCTGGCCCACCAGGACCCCCCAATCTCAGTGATTCCGATGGTGAAGGGCGCAGGGATGGCTCGAAAATGATGGACGTCAGCAAAATCAAGAAGGAGAAAGAATCCAGCGGACCAAAGACTAGGGAGCAGCTGAAGCGCATTCGGTACGATGACTGGGACACATCCGATTCAGATGGACCAGGTGCGAGCAAGTCCAAGAGTAAGAAGAAGAAGAAGAGAAAGAGCTCTTACGAATGTGATCAGAGTTATAAGAACAACAGGTGAGTGAATGAGAGAATTCAGTGATGTACAGTCGAGGCTTTATATAAGATACCTCTCTATAAGATACCTCGAGCGCTCGGCGCTCCCCCACGCTCGGCACTTTTATCGCCTGGAGAATGTTTAGTTTCGTCGAGTTCTTATAAGATACCTATGGCCTCGATCATTTTTTAACTGGAAAAGACTGATGAAAAAACGATCAAACGGAGTTAAGGGACAAACGGGAGGGACGAACGAAGGGATCATAAGGGTCAAATGACCTTAAGGGTCAAAAGTTCAAACAGGAGAGTCAAGTGAAGTAATCAGAAGGGTTGAACGATCCCAAGAGTCACCTCCTTTCTTCGCCGCTATAGTTATTAAAATGATGACGCAGAGTTATCTTAATAGAACAAAGCCTAATTAAAATTCAATCAATTTACGTATTTTCAATAATTTGTGCTTCAGCTGTCCAGAAGTGATTACTCTCAAGTCCCCCAACAATCCCCCAACATCAGCTGCGATTCTATCACACGGGGTAATGTTTAGAGAGAAAAGCGAACGCAGGCTATACGAATTCAAAACATTAAACTCGTATAAATTGATTAATTATCAATATCCATTCAGTAAAAATGAATGTTCCATAGAATTCGGGCGCAACGAGCGAGGTATCTTATTTCAAACCGCTGATCCCTATTTTTCTCCTCTCTATAAGCGTCCGTAGTGGGGGTATACGGATTCCTGGAATTCCATTCTCCTACTGTCCCTAAGGTATCTTATATAAAGCCTTGACTAGTTGTAGCGTGTGATAAAATGTGCCTAAAAATAGAAACATTATACCCTGTTAAGAAATTACTCCAGAAATTTCTCTCTATATTATGAAAATCCAAATCGACTTCTGGCGATGGAGAATTAAGATGAAACATTGAGGCTCGAAACCAAGAGTCACAAGGCTCAGTATTAGGGTCAGGATTAGAGTCAGAATAGGGTCCCGGTAAGGGTTAGACTACAGGTCATATGAGGGCCATGTGGGGTTCATATGGGGCTTTCAAGGCGTTGACTGAAGCCTTTTTCTAAAAATAAACCAATCACTCCTAACGAGTCGCGTCATAAGAACTGTGGGGGGTTGACGAGCGGAGCGAGCAGGGGGCGAAGCCCCCTAGTCCAGTAATAAAATTGTAACATTTCTAACATCGATATGGAATTTCCATATATATTGTTACTGAAAATTCAATTAACTTCTGGAATAGTCAATAAAATTGCAATTTTCAGGTCTATATGGCAATGAAAATTACTGAAATTTGTGAAAATTTACGTAAGTGTTATTTTGAATTCTCGTTGGGTTGATAATTTCAATTTCAGAATTAGTATCCAAAATGTTGAAATATGAATAATACCCTAGCAGGGAAATTCAATTTTGTTGAATCTCTGAATCAAAACATTTTATGAACGATTTGATCTCAAAGTGAATTCAAATTCAGAACATTGATAATTCAACTGCAGTTGTTAGTTGAATTCTAAAAAATTTCTAACAGCTAAAATCAATCAAAAGGATAAGCCGTCTGAGAGGATAAATGATGAATTTATAAAGTCAATAAAGAATTCAACGATCGATTTGATTCCAAAGTGAGTTCAAATTTATTACATTGAAAATTCAAAATTTTATCCACTAAATCATTATAAATTACATACATAACAATTCCGTTACAAAATGAGAGGCTCGAGGCTCTACTCATGTCTGAAAATAGAATTTTTCTAAAAGCCCCCCAAGTTTTATTGGGGTACATTTAGAACCTTCCGTGTTCGGGAGAACTTTTAGAAAAAAACTCATGTAATAAAAAAAATTATATGATGCCATTGTGTGGCGTGATATTTTTTTATAGTATACTGTAGTGAAGAAATTTTTCAGTATACCTCCATTATAATCATAAGAATGATGACGGAGAAAATGAAAAATTTAATATCTTTCCAGCTTCAAAATGAAGCGGGTGTTTTCTATAGTTGGATAGAAACTTGGAGGCAGGTTAGTGAACGTCATAAACCGTCACAGGATAGATGTAAATATGAAAATTCTCGTCAGATGACTGAATAGGAAATTCACATGGAGCTCAGCTTTCCATAATTTCCCTATTCACCCATTCTACGTAATCCATAGATAGCTAAACAAAAATAATTATGGACAAGTATTACCTAGATATTTTACACTAATTGATTGAAAATCAGACGTTTTCGAAACCTATCATTTCGCTCATGACGTCACAAAGTGGCATAAGTAAATGCTGGGCAGCGCTCCGTTGGTCGAATGTGCGGAGAGAGGGGAGTTGCCGTCATCCATTGGATAAGGCGCTCGTGAAGATTGGGTTAGGTTGACTCGAGCCATTTTATGATTGGTTCAGCATTCGACCAACCTTGTGACGTCATTAGCGACTTCAAAGCACTTAAAATTTTCAACTTCCGACAATGAATTATTAATTGAAGAGCTATATTTTTAATGTTCATAAATGAAAATTTAATAATTTAGAGCCGACACTTGAGATTAAAAAATCGTAAAAAAATTCATGCAAGTTCCCTATTATGACGGTATTACTGTATGACCGTCAAGTTCTAATTAAGGTGCTTCCTTCGAAAAAGGTGAATAATGATAGTTATCTGAAATTCATATAGGATGTTTAGAATCACAGTTGGATTATTTATGAATTTTCTTAGAATTTTTCCTAGATTTCCTTTTCAAGTTATTATCGATCGAAGTCGCTTCTTATCATGGGTTCTTATGGAGACTTTTTTGCTTAGCACCAAACTGCGCTATAAGCTGAGCTGATACTATAGCTTCATGCTCATTTGAAAAATCGCCACAAGGGCCCATGTATAAAAAGTTAAATTGGATCTTCACAACATGTAAACAGAATCTAGGAAAATTCGAAAAAATGTAGACATTACCTGACAACAACAATGAACATCCTCTAAAAATTTCGATTCAATGTCATTGGTTTTTTTTTCACAGATGAACCCCCTTAAATAGATGGACTGCTACCAAATTTGTGTCATATGTCTCCCCCGTTTGAACCTTCGAAAATTCCTAATTTTATTACTTTTTTTTATGACATCCATTTTATGTTACCGTCATATGTCATCTGAATAATAGCTGCAATGTACAACTACTTAAACTTTCAGGATCAGTATTCAATTTTATGTCATTCTTTGTGACATCAATTTCTGTATGACCGTCATATTCCATATAAGTAACAGTAACATTGTGAATTACACAATGAAGGAAAAATATAACAACACATGACCGTCATATAACCTTCACGAATTCGTAACGTAAAAAATAACGGTTAAATTCACAACTCTCGTGCGTCTCTCCACCGTTCTTACACTGAAAAAAAAACAAGTTCCCAAGCAAGTCTTGTTGGGGCTAACAAAATCGTTATTTAAAAATTACCAAAAAAGACATTGTTAATTAGAATTAGAGAGTCCAAAAACTACCGCTAGAAATTACGCTTCTTACTTGCACAGAAAATACATTTTTTCGAACGGCTAAATCTATTTTTGCGACAAAAATTTTCCATCTCGGCGCACTCTTTTCATGTTTCACACAAAAAAAATCCTTTTCCGTACTGATCTGCACTTTTACTCGTCCACGGATTGGCTCCCCAAACTCGTAAAAGTGAAAATTACTACGAAAAAATATCGTTCACGACCAATGACACGGGATTTTTTTTACTCGTTGTGGTTAAAAGCAGAGCAATTATTCATGTTTGAGACTTGCAAATTCAAACCAAACAATTAAAAAAAATTTTTAAAAAACCAAACAATTTTTTTTTGCAATTTTCAATTTTCAATTTTTTAATTTTCATTCACGCATTAGTCGTACCATGTGGATAGCTAAGCGGCGAAAATTATGGAGAAATATTGCCTAGATGTCTTATAATAATTAATTGAAAATCAGACTTTTTGAGGTAGAAAATTTTTCGATCATGACGCCACGAAAACGGTCACGTCACACTTCATTGGTCGAAAAAGAAGAGAGTAGGGAGTTGTCGTCCTCCATTGACCGAGGCTCACTTCAAGATTGGGTTAGATCGACTCGAGCCATTCTGTGATTGGTCCAGCGCTCGACCGTCTGTATGACGTCAGGGATTTCAAAGTGTTTGAAATCTTCAACTTTTAACAATTAATTATTAATTAATGAGCAATATTTCAAACGTTTGTGAATGAAAAATGGATTATTCAAGTCCCAAACTTGAGATTAGAAAATTGAAAAAAAAAATTCATGCAACTTCCCTATTGTAGCGTTTGTCAGTCGATTCACGAATTTTTCAGGAGGATTCTGTAGTGTAGTAGACCTTTCTTGAACTGTCCCGAACCTTTTATGAATTTCCAGAGGAACGGACATTCCAAATTATATAGAGCAAGATCCTAGGACGAAATTCGAGAAGGAATTTTTTATCAGGGTACAACTTTAATGAAAATCTTGTTTCAAATTTCCTCTCTCATTTAATGATTATAATATTGCTTTATCAAGAAAAAGAATCCTATACACAGATGAAGAGAACAGGAAGATGATTCAGTATTTGATTGAAAATGGGTTGATCACTAAATCCACTCAAATGCATGTCTGGATCAAGTTCTCGATTAAAAAGGTAAAGATGAAAAAAAATTCATCAGTCGATGTTTCTCTCACTGAAATCATAATTTTCATTAAAAAAACATTCTCTACCATCAGATTCTAACTGATCCAGAGAGGAAGCCAGAGTCTCTGAAGAAACACTTTGAAGACCAGTTGATCTTCAATTTCGAGAAATACACGCATGATCCTATTGCTGTAGAGCAGTTCAGCAAAATCAGGGACGAATTAATTTAATTACCTCAACGAAAATACAAGAACAACGAGATTAAGTAATAACAATATTGCGCTATTATTTCATACAGAGTATATTTTTGTGCGATAGAAGTCTTTATTTTGTTATTCCAAGGAAGTGTTACAAATACAAGTGAACTTAAGCAGAAAATTATAACAAGAGGAATCAGTGAATTCAATCTTGATCAATTTTGTCTGCAGTACTTGAGAATGTACGTCAATGATATTCACCAATTTTCCTTCATCTTTCATCATGATATAATTTACAGCTAGTTTTCCCCTATTAATTTATGTTTCAGTCGATTATTAAATTAACGCAACTTAAAACGTAAAAAATGTATCACATGTAAATTTGTTCTGAAACTGTATATTTCGACCAGAGTATGGCAGGCTTCAATGAGAATAAACGAAACTTCAATAGTACATTTACATTATTTTTAATTACTAGAGACTTTCCAATAATTATGCATTATTTATGGAAGATTTTTTATGGCGAATAGGTGATAAAAGAACATACAAACATCATTTGTAAAACACAGTTGCAGTCGCATTTCACGCCTCATCCTGTGGATTTTTATCATTAAGTAATTCAGTGTTGGCGTGATTAATGGACAATTGTTCTTTCTTATTATTCTTCTTAAGAATTTTTCGACGTTTATTGCGTCTATGTATGCAGTAGAGAGAAATAAATAATATGGTGAGGAACACTGAGACACAAGACGCAACGAGGATCCATGTGGAACGAGCCTTTGCTATTTCCTCATGGGTCTTCAGGACATATTTACAACTATCAAATAATTTAACTGTGTCATTTGAGATGATTCGATTATCAGAGTGGTAAGTACATTTCTTGGGGTCAGTCGAACATTTAAGTTTTTCGGGGTACAATTTTATGTTTCTGATTGTAATCCACTCGCTGAAGGCGTGACAACTGCAGTCGTCCAGGATCAACGGATTGTTGGAGATATCCAGGCTCTCCAGGGAGCAGAAGATGGCCACGTCCTCAGGTTTCAGCTGTCTGATGACGTTTCTAGATACGTTCAAGTACTTGAGCCGTGGCAAAATACCCAAGTGAGGGAGTGAACTCAAGTGATTCCTTGATACGTCCAATAATTCTAAATTCGAATTCTCAGCAAGACCAGTCGGTCGTATCGATGCATCCCCGAGGTTGTTGTGCGCTAGGTAGAAACGTTTCAAGCTTGGAAGGGTGAAAATACTATTTGGAAAATCGCCGATGCCATTTGTGTTGAGGTTTATGACCTGTATGTTGGTGAGACGTGAGAAGGCACCTTCTTCAATGACAACGATGATGTTGTCCATGAGATAGAGAAAGGTCAGGCTGGTGTAGGCGGAGAGAGTTTGGTTGTTTAGGTCGCGCAGCCGATTCACCGAAAAATCCAATATCTGGAGGAAAAGGAGGAATTTATTAAATTCTCTTTGCCTTTCTCATTCGTCTTTTGTTCGTTTGAATGAACGTTGAGAATTTTATGAATATCTTGGGAATGAGGAAGAGGGGTTGGAGGAGTTGGGAAGATGAGGTCAAGACATTCCTGATGGAAAATGCGGGCAATGAACTCTTATTCTCGAGGGAAATTGCTGATATATCAACTTTTTGTGGTTCGCAAGGGATGGTCGATTTTTGCTTCCGAATGAATGCTTTATATCTCGTCAAATGTTTCATATTAAAGTAAAGATTCTTACCTCATCTCGTGATGTTAGGACACGTCCAATGAATTTTATCTCTCTATATTATAAAAATCCAAATCGACTTGTGGTGATAAAAATTTGGTACTCGAAATTCAGACTTCACAATTAAGGGTCACAAAGGTCAAAGTAAGGGTCACGAGGGTCAAAATAATGGTCATGAGGTTCAAAATAAGGGTTATAAGGTTCAGAATCAGGGTCATGAAGGTCAAAATAAAGGTCTCGAGGGTCAGAGTGAGAGTCACGAGCGTTAGAATAACGGTCACGAGGGTCGGATTCAGGGTTACAGGCGTCAGATTAAGGGTCACAAGGGTCAGATTATTCGTATTATTATTATTACAGGTATATGTATACTACTGTATATCGTCAGAATAAAGGTCACAAGTGTTAAGGGTCACAGGGGTCAGATTAAGGGTCAGAATAAGAATTATGGGGGTCATATGTGGGTTGGCGGTCACCCCCTAGTCAACTACTAAATTTTGATGTTCTTTGTTCGTACATATTCATTAACAGCCTAAACCAATGCGATTATCAACATGACCAAGAATTTTATCTGTTGAGTCAAAAGAAATAAATATTGTAAACAAAAAGTAAATCTTTTTGAGAGCAAATGGTTAATTTACAAATTAGCAGAAAATACTATATTTCGATCAAAAAATAGGCAGTTATTCTATTTGAAAAATATTATATACGAGAACAGGGGGCGCGCTTCGCGCGCGTATTATTTTCCATGGGTGCCAGAATAGTAAAACCTTACCGTTTCTCACTTTCATTAATTTTTATCTCAATAATAATAATGCAGAAAAAATGAATGGTTTCAACAAAGTTTTTCAGAATGAGAATTTAATTGTTGAATAATTTACTCAGAATCGTTATAATCCTCTTCATCTTCTTCTTCGTTTCTCTTTTGCTTTTTACGTTCTTATTAATTTTTAGGGATGTATTATGTACTGTATACATATATACTATCCTATATATCTATTTTTTTTACAGAACTATAAATTATTTTACAGTTAAAAAAATGAAAGTATACATCATATATGTATAATATATCTGCTATATATTATATTATATATTATATTATATATATTATATATTATATTATATATATTATAATATATAATATATTATATTATATATTATATAATATAATATATATACTATACATGTATGAATTTTTTTATAGTACAGAACTGTATTTAATTTTTTCAATTGTTAAATGAATTACAGTACATGAAAAAATATACATAGACATAATATTACATTACTTGATAAGCGGAATAGAGTCTTCAGAAATCGTTACACTGGATTTTTTTAAAGTGGAATATTCTATGAGAAATTGCTAACATATCGACGGTTTTGTGATTTAGAAGGAATCCTTGATTTTTGCTTCCGATTGGGTCCATTATATCTCCTCACACTTTTCATCTAAAAGTAAGGAGCTGGTCCTCTTCTTATGATGTTAGGGCAAGTCCGCTGAATTTTATCAATTATTCAATTTTAATGTTGTTTGCTCATACATATTCATTAACAGTATTGAACAATTAACAGCATTAAATTAATTTTATCAATTTATGAAAAAATAGCCAAAGTACTATTATTTACTTTCGTATTTATTTATTTTATTAATTAGACTATCAACATCATCTAGAATGTATTTTATCATTTGACTCATAAGGAAAATATCGTAATGAACAATTGAATCCATGCGAAAAGAAATTGTTAATTTATAGATTAGCAGAATATACCATACTTCAATAAAAAAATATGCAGTTACTCTACTCATAAAATATTACGCAGTGTTCTTCCACGAGGAATTGTTGAATAAATTAGTGGAAAAACCCATACTTCCACCGAAAAATTTGCAGTGAATCCAATTTTTGAATACTATACAGTATTACTCCCTGAGAAATGCATTGCAGGTAACTCGCGACATCCGTAATTTTCTGCACTTTCTACTAATGTAGTGCTCGCAAATGAATCTCTTGTGGTTTTCGAGATAATTGGATTCTTCCATGAGTCTCATTTTTCACGTGATTTCCCCTGATTTAAATTCATAGCAGAACTCCGAAGTCTTCTCCAAGGGAACATGGAAGTGGGTTGGACGGGATAATTGAAAGGCTGGGGGAAAATTTCAACGGTAAACATTCAAAATGAGGCTGTCTTCTTGTTAGTTACAAACTCTGCGAACATCACGATTTTTCTGTTTGTTCATGGAAATTTTTATTCATCCTCGTCAGAAATTAATGGAGATAGAAATGAGTTGTGCATCCATGAGCATCAAGACGAATTTTATATGAAATCTCTCGAGGAATGTTTTAACATCTATTCAACAACTTCAAAGTCATACCTCGACGTCTGTCCGTAGACTCTTGGGAATTTCATTGAGGTTCAATTCCGCGCATTTCGCCTGCAGCATCCCTGATATTTTGCTGTACTGACATCTCCGTGGTTTTAGATCACGATCTGATAATAAAAGGCCACCTGTCTGGTATTCAAGCGCCAGAACTTCTCCAGGTACCGTTAACGACAGGCTCATCCATACCAGGAGAAACTCAACCACCACGTGGGCATTCATTACTGCTGCATCTGAAATTTCACGTGAAATTTTTCATTTCCCCTGTGCAATAAGAAATGAGGTAAGAAGAAAAGCGGAAAGAATGAAAGGAAAATAGAGGAGGACAGTTAAAAATGGGAATAATGGAAAAAAATGAGATGAGTGGCACTTGGCGGGGTTGAGCTTTGATGGGGGAACCTTGAGGCTCTCTCGTCTCTTGCGCTTCAAAAATAGGACTTATCGTTTAAACTCAGCCACCCAGTACTCGGAAAGTCAACTGACCTCATATTTTTTTTTCTCGCCGCGATTTATTCGTAGTTTACACATAGTTTCAACTGATTTATTAATTTCATTCTTGAATTTTTAATCATTATTAATTGAGCATATCCAAGTACTTTGGCTGTTTTTTCTCCAGTGAAATGCTTTTTTATTTCTGTAATAGAACATCAGAGCTTTCATTTGAGCCCCGTAAGTTTCCGGACATTTTACAATACTTTTATTATTTAAACTTTGTAGGTCTGAATTTAAGAATCTCGATATTGAATCGTTACAAAATATTATAAAAATCTGAAAAAAATGAGAAAGTTTATTTTCGAAGGAAGATTAATGAAATAATTAAAAAATTGCAATTTTTAAAAATTACCAACATTTTCTCTAAATAATTTATAAACAATCAATTTTCTACCATAAAAATCACTTGTTCAAAATCGTAACAAATTTATTCATATTCAGAATTTTCCCAGAAATGGATTTCATGCCTACAAAAAAAGAAATTTCCAAAAGTTCAAACAACTCCAATTTTGTATTTATAAACAACGAATGTTTAAAAAAATAATAATTCTGTGCAAAATGTAATTTGAGTGAATATTCATGAATATTCATGATTAAAAAAAAAATTTCTCACGCAATTTAATTGACAAATTTCATGATCGAAAATGATTGAATCTATAGTGTGGTCTGCATCAACGTGTAAAAATTAATTGGATATCGTTGAATGCGATTGAGGCACTCGTTCCCTTGGCTTCATATACGGTGGCATATCTAATATTAAAACTGTGTGAATTCTGAAGTTATCCCGTTTGAATCAATAGTACCGTAGTTGATGAGCATTTTTATCCACTTAAAGATTCTATTTCAGCCTTCAAGAATGATTCATTTTTATTCATTCAAATTCAATTCATTTCAAAGTCCTGAGAAATTTCCCTTCTGTCTTCATCTGAAATTTTAATTATCCCATCGATTTTCATCTGTAAGAGACTGACAGCGTTTAAATTGATGAAAAAAAAAACAAGCAAAACAAAAATAGTGACTGTAATTGATAAAGTTTTTAGAAGCTATTGGTGTTCGAGAGGCAATATAAACGGAATTTATCAATTTTTTTTCACTGTATCAATCGTGAATAAATATTGATTAATTATATGCTGGATGAACTTTCCGAGCTCCACTCCCTCACGAAGACCTCCACAGGCCGCAAGTTGGGTATTTGTTTAGGCTAAGGAGGGGGGTTGCGTCGTCAAGTTGTCAACTGCTCTCTAGACTTCATGATAAAGTATTGAAGTGACCCATCATGGATCCATTGAACTTTATTATCCTTCAACTCTTTTCCCTTCCATTCGCCTCTCATTCCGATCAACAAGTTCAATACAGTATTTCCCAAAAAATGTATTGCACATATAAGAATGCATTGAGAAATTTTTTTTAGAAAAATTCATGAGCTAGCACCATAAATGACATAACTTGCACATTTGGAAAAATTATTGTGTAGCACCAGAAAAATTTGTCATGCTTCACCAGAAAAATTATGTGAAATTCAAATTCCAAATTTTGATTTATTTTCAATGTTTCAAGATTTTTTACTTGCAATTCCAGGGAAATTTCTTGTAGTACGTATTCTGTTCGCTTCAGTAAATCTGCAACTTGTTAATTTTTAATTACTTATAAAATCCAATATTTTTTCCCTAATTGATCATATCCGACAATCAAAAAATCTCACGCAAAATTGCAATTCTCAGATCCAGGAATGATCACTTGCCGTATCTTCATTAGTTAAGAATTCAACACAGCAGATGCTTGAATCTTCATAATTTTCAAATAGATTTATTATGTGAAAATAAAATCCAATATTTTGATTGAACTTTCATCAAACTGACTGGTTCAGTTCAAATTAATTTTTCTGTTGGGTATTTCAACATGTTTTACGCGCAGCTTCAGGTAAATGTCTTATAGTACATATTCTTTTGGGTTCCGTACTCTTGCAAGTTTTTCATTATCAATTACTTACAAAAATTAAAGAACAAAAAATCCAATATTTTCTTCCTAATTGAATGCATTCAATAATCAAGAAATCTCCCGCAAAATTGCAATTCCAAGATGTTGTAGAAACATGAAAATCTCATGAAAGTCCTAGTAAAAGACAAATTGCCGCATGTTCATTAGTTGAAAATTCTGCATAACACTGACCTGAACTTTCATAATTTTCAAACATTTTTATCACCATGTGAAATTGCAATTCAAAACGTAGATTAAATTTTCATCAAACTGGTTCAGTTAAATATTGAATTTTTTTTTTGGACTGAATATTTTAAGAATAAGAAATAATAATTTTTATATTTTAAGATGAAGTTGAATATTTTAAGATGTTTTGCTTGAAATTCCAGGTAAATTTCTTACAGTACTTATTCCCAGCATTTCATCCCGCCTGCAACTTGTTAATTTTTAATGACTTATAAAAATTAAAGAAGAACAAATCCAATATTTCCTTCCTCCTAGATCAAACTCAACAATCGAAAGATCGCCGCAAAATCGCTATTTTGAGATGTTTTCCCATCACAAAAATCCAAGCAAAATTGTTTTATCTAGTTCCACATAAAAGACAAATAGCCGCAGTTCATTAGTTTCGTCAAAGCAGCCGCCGCCAATTTTTCAAAATCACCAGCAAAGTTTGTTTTCTCTGTTCGTCATCCACGGCAGAAAAAAAGAACTTCCCTCCAACGTGAGGAGCTTGATTTGTGAAGAGGAAGAAAAAAAAATGTAAACATCCTCGAAACTCCAATCCCCACGATTTATCGCGATGACCTACAAAATCTTGTAGAATCTCTCATCGACCGAGTTGAACGATTTTCCTCCCGCTCCTCGGCATAATCTTTTAATCGCCACCACCCCCTCCACTGTTCCACATTAAAAGGCTCACCTCTTTCACCCTCTAACGATTTTTCGTAGTCTTTTCTCTCTTTTTTTTTTTAATAACACCCGTGGGCGTAACCACACACGCAAGGGAGCCTCTGGATGGTGGACGATTGGAGAATGCTAAAATGCGCTATTTCGGGAGAGTCCGCCGAGACCGCGAAACCACTTAATTTATTCAAGACTTTCTCACCCGATTTTTACCCCTAAACCTGTGACATTTCAGTGCCAAGAAAATAACTTGAAATGTAGAAGAAAAAACTCATCATCTCCACCCTAGGTTTTATTTACACGGAGAAAATAAAATAGTAATGATTACTATGTCGGAATCCGCACATAGTAAACGTTATAGCATATAGTATTACTATGGACATGGTGATGGGTGCCATGAAACATCGTAATGGTTACTATGGGGCATAGTAAGCTCCTCAATAGTAATAGGTACTATGGGCATAGTAATAATTACTATGTTAACATAGTAAAGCTCTCTATGTTACATAAAATGTCCTATAAGCCATAATAACATTATTTAAAAAAGTGATATACCATCGAGGGATGAAATATGAGTAGATCAATGTTAGACACAGTAATATAATTAATTCCAGAACGCGAATTTTCTTGTAAGCACCATCGAAAAGAGAAATTATGGGCTCTTAATAAAGCCCATTAAAACTTAAATTAAATTTGCAGTTGTATTTTTATGCATATCAAATAAATAGTTTTACGAATGTAAACAAATGCTATCTTCATACAAGTAAAGACTTTTTTAGTTAATAATGGAATCGTTGTTTAGATAGCAAAGGAAAAGCATTTATTAATGTGTAATAATTCGCTGTTTGTTCACCATCAGATAAATTGTTTATTTATTTCTAATTGATTATCTACTTCTAATGAATGCACTAGTTATTCCATATGATTGAAGCGTTGTTATTTAAATAAATCTATAAATTCCGAGCAAAAATATTGTAGAATTGAATAGGAAAATTTCAAATCAAGTGTTTCATTCGTTCAATTTTTTTTAAGAGTTTAAGCCTTAAGGGGTCCGCAGTTGTGATGGGCGCGCAGGTGAGGGAGTGTGAAATAGTCAAGTTAGTGAGGTTAGTTTCGAGAGAGACGGGACATCAAACATGGCGTATGTTGGATAATGATAGACATCGCCATAGTATTTTTATAATTAATTTATTGAACAAATCAACGATAAAACCCAATGGGATTTCGTGCCCATATTGTTTAGGGCTTAATATAGAACAATTTAGCTTCCTTTGCTGGCTAGCACATTGTAAACAGTGTGAGGGATATGGGACAAAGTAGCGTCCATAAAGGTTGCGTATAAGGCGCAATTTGAGTAATTAATTAAACACGAACGGAACCATAAAAGTAGTTAGAATTGCTTTTACAAATACCTTTTTAACATTTTTGATTACTATATGATATATTTAATTCGCAAGCACATTGTCATATTTTACCCAAAAGTACTGCGGAGACCCCTTAAGCGTCTTGAGTTTATGATCGCATCAACAGGCAATCGCGAATTTCAACCGGTTATTTTAGAGATACTTCCTATGTTCATAGGATCATTTTCCATTCGTATAGTAACTATTTCTATGGCCATGGTAGGCACTCCCATGTAATATAGTAAACATTACTATGGAACATAGAAAGTATTACCATGGGACATAGTAAGTATTACCATGTGACATAGTTACTATGTAGGGATAGTTGAAAATCCTTTTACTATGTTACCATAGTAATCTCTCCTATAGCCATGGTAATGTCTACTATTTAATTCGCTCCGTGTATGTGACATAGTAAAGATTACTATGTAGGGATAGTTAAAAATCCTCTTACT